TGGAGGAACCGAGGAGAGGGGCGGCCTCAGTGACTTTAGTTAATCACTTTGCCTTTGGGGATGTTGACTTCTGCTCTGTGGGATGGTGCTTGTCACAGGGCTGTAGGGGCACAAAGGGACCCAGGAGGTGACACATGATATTGTCCAAAAGGACCTGAGGCCCTGGTGGAGCCTGGAATCTATTTTAGTAAGGGCCTGGGTGGCCTTTCCTCCCCTAAGGWGCCACCGTGGCCCTGTGAATGGTAAATCAGAACATGCTCCTCTACCCTGGATGTCCCCGGCCCCTCACACTGGGACAAATCCTATGCCCTCATCCCACCACCTGGAGAGGAAGCCCTACCTGCCAGGCTCTTGCTGGCCTCCCAACCTCACCTCTAATTGTCCTTCCCCTCCCTCCCTTGGCTCCAGCTGCTGCAGCCTTCTTGCAATTCCAGAACTTACCAGGCTTATGGCTGCCTCGGGTCCTTTGCACTTGCTGTCAGCTGTCTGCAACGGCTGTTCTCCAATTCCTTCCACAGCTCGATTGCTTGCTTCATCCCTCCTCAGAGGCCCCTCCTCAAAGGCCACCTTTTGCTGGCCTTGTTTATCCCGTGTCCTGCTGCAATGACATGGCGTATTTATCTGGCTCCCCACTGGAAGCCYCCTGAGGGCAGACACTCTGTCTCATGCACTGCTCAATTCTGGGTGCTCAGCAGGGTGTGTGCTCAGCAGAGGGATCGTGGTCTACCCTCTGCAAAACCCCATTCTCGGGCTTCGGCCTTCCCTGGCCCTCTGGGACCTCTCCCCCAGCACAAGGCCATTCCCAGCTCCCCTTGCGACAGTCCACTTGTCCCCTCTTGACCCCTCTGGATTTGGGTAAATGATTGACAGAATCGATCCTCGTCACGTTCCCTTGCTCTGGCATCCATTTTCCGYGTGACCTTGGGCAGCCTTGGACCTCAGTGAATTCGAGCTCCCCCTCTGTATAGGGAAGGGTCAGCGGGCACACAGCCTCTAGCAAAGCCTYGTCTGTCTGCGAAGGTCTGTTCTGTATCGTTTATTTCTTGACAGAGAACCAGCCCGTCTGCTCTTGTCCACCTGCGTGTCAGAAGGCTGTGAAAAATACCTGTGAGAACGACCGAGAGGAAGAGAGTTTATTTTGGCTGCACGAGGCTCAGCTCATGGTGGGCTGGCTTCATCGCTTAGCACCGAGGTGAGGCAGCAGGTCACTGAGGAAGGGCCTGYGGGAGGACAGCTGCTCAGCTCACAGCAGCTGGGAAACAGAGATAGAGACAGACAGAGACAGAGGAGGGACTGGSGAAGGTAAAACCAGCCAGGAGACGTCCCCAGTCACCCACTTCCTCAAACATTGGTGCTTGCAGCCCCCAAATTCTTCACTCACTGGAGTCTGCCATGGGCCAGGACTAGAGCTATATTCTGGGGGCAAGAGGGGTGACACATGCCTGCTCACTCTGTGGGCTCAGGCCCAGGGGACAGGGGCACAGAGACAGAGGCAGAGCAGCATGCTTTGCGGGCAGGGCTGGTGACATCTAGCGTCCCGACAGCTAGTGAAGCCAGTCATCCTTGCTCTGCCTGGGCTCCCCTGGGTTGTGCGGAGCATGACCTTATCTGGACTCTATTGCTCACCTGCCTTGACGTCCACACCCACGTCTGCCCAACACTTTCCTTCTCTYTCTTCCCTCTGTTCCCAGGAGGAGAACGTGCAGGGGTCTGTCACGAGATTCATTCATTCCTTGGCAACGCAAAGCCTCCTGCTTGCTGAGCTGGGGAGGAAGACACCATCCTGCCCTGGAGGATCAGACAAGCTTTTTATTATGCAAAGTTTCAAAAGTGTACCAAAATGGAAAGAGTAGCAGATAAGCCCCTGTGTTTCCATCAGCAGATTCGGTTATTTTCAACAAAGATCAATACCATTTTGGGGTACCTCCTGGTGTTCCCCCTGTGAAATGCTTTAAAGCAAATCCTACGTATCATTTCATGGTCACAGATTTAGAACATCAGAACCTGGTAGCCTTATCACACCCCCAAARCAATAATCCCTTAATATCACAAATACCAAGTCATCGCTTCCCTAATACACAAGGCCTTCTCTCTCTCAATCTCTCTGTCTCTCTTCTCACTATTTGTGGTAAAATTCACATAAACAAAGTTACCCTTCTAAAGGGGTCAGTTTGGAGGCATCTAGCACACTCACAATGTCGTGCAGACACCACCTCTATCTGGTTCCATCACCCCTGAGGACTTCACTTCTTTTTATGGCATAAGGAATTAGTGGGTAGCCATTCTGTCTGTTCATCTGTGGGTGGACACTGGAGTTGGTCCTGCTTTGGGGCCGTTGTGAAGAACACTGCAGTGGACATAGGCTACAAGTGTCTACTCAAGTCCCCGCTGTCAGTGCCTCTGGGTCCATTTTGCTTTTGGAGCAAATAGAAACTGTTTCCCCTGGACAGGGCGTCATGATCTTACCTACCCACTGACTGTSGGGGGGTTCCAATTTCTCCATATCCTTAATGACACTTGCTATTTTCCTTTTTAAATTTGATTGGTAGATTGTGGTACTAGGGATAGAAGCCAGGGGCTTACACATACTAGGCAACTTTTTAAAACATTAAAGGTGTCCTGCTGGATGTCATGTGGGTGCTCACTGGGGTCTGGGTTTGCATTTCCCTAATGACCAAGGATGGTAGCATCCATTTAGGTGCTTGTTAGTTGGCTCATCTTCTTTGGAAACATTGTATTCAAATGCGTTTCTTTTCTGTTTTTGATTGGACTGTGTGTTATTTTATTATTGAGTTGGAAGAGTTCTCCAGATGTTGCAGTATGATCTCCTTATCATATCAAGGATTGGCAGATGTCTCTACCCATTCTGTAGGTTGACTTTGGACTCTCTTGAGAATGTCTTTTGAGGCACCAGAGTTTTTAATTTTGATAAAGTCCTGTTACCTGTATTTTTCTTTTCTTGCTTGTGCTTTTGGTGTCAGATGTAAGAATCTGTTGCAAATAAAAAACCTTGAAGACTTGCCCCTATGTTTACTTTGAAGAGTCTGATGACCTTAGCTCTTAAAATTTAGGTCTTTGGTCCATTTCATATATGGTGGAGGTTAGAGGTCCCTCCTGACATCTCCTGTTTACTAAGGAATACAGCACAGGACATTTTTTTTCTTTTGGTATCATATTAGTAATATACTTTATTATTATTATTATTATTATTATTATTATTATTATTATTTGTTCTACTTAGTTGTCCATGACATTGTACACAAATGGAGCGCAACATTTCAATTCTCTGTTGTACACAGTGTAGAGACGCACCATTTGTGCAATCACACATGTAGCTATGGTAATGATGTCCATCTCATTCCACCATCTTTTGTACCCCCATGACCCCTCAGCACATGACTTTTAATTGAAAACTTTCTTATTTGCACTTGTTAGTACTCTCAATGCTGTTTGAGAGGTGACACCTTGACACTTTGATTCACCATATATTCTCAGTAAGATGGCAATGATCAGCACATAGAATATAATAAATATTTAGTGAATAAGTGAATGAATGAGTTGCTATGATTTTTGGTATAGGGTATGGTTACTGATATCATTGGGTTTAGATCTTCTAATATGTTTGTTTTCTATTTTGTCTATCTGCATCTCATTTTATTTTCAAGCCTATTAACTTCTGTTTTGGGTTATTTGAGTCGTATTCATATTTCCATTTTATCTCAATTGCTGACTCGTTTATACTTTGGTCTTATATTTTTTTCAGTAGTTTCTTGAAGCCCTACAACATAAATTTCTGATTTGTTACRGTGTGCTTTCAAATAACATTTTATCTCTTCAAGTAATGTGTAAGAACCTTTTATGAACGCACTTGCTTTTTTCTCCCTCTGGCCTTTATGCTACTGTTATTATCCTTTTATTTTGGAATATGAAATAAAATCCACAATACAATTATTTTTTCTGTAAGCACTCAATCATCTTTCCAAGAGACTATAAATGAGGAAGATTCTACCTATTTGCCACTGTTTATTCTCAGGTTCCTATACCGATTTCCATCTGGCTCATTTTTCTTCCTTCAAAGCATTGGCTTTAACATTTGTTGGGGGGTGGTTAGGAGAGTCTGCTGGTAATGAATTTTCAAATCTTTTATTTGTCTGGACATATTTTTATTTCCCTWCAGTTCTGAAGAATATCTTTTCTGAATATACAATTTGCTTTGATCTTTAATTCTTTTAGTAGCTTAACCAGGCCAGTCCGTGACCTTCCATCTGCATAGTCTCTTATTGGGAGTTCAATGTCATTCTTTTAATTTTTTTCCCCCTCTTTGTGCACACTCCGTCTTTTCCTCTGATTTTAAGATTTCCTCTTTATCACTGACTTCCAGTGTTATGATTTTGATGAGCCTTTGTGTATTTTTTACGTTTACTGTGAGTTTGTTGAGCTTAGCATTTTTTTGAGTCTTTGAGATTAGCATTTTTTAAAAAAAATCACATCAAAAAATTTCAACCATAATTTCATTCAATGTTTCCTGTCCCTAATCTTTTCTTCTAGAACTGTAACTATTTGTTTGTAAGACCGCCTGGAATTTTCCAACAGGCCCCTGTTTCCCAGCCATCTCTCACTTCAGCCTTTTTGTTCTCTGTTCTTTATTTTTATAATTTCTCTTGCTATGTATTTAAAATGACTGATCTTTTTATTTTCACTCTCTAATCTGCTGTTCATACCAATTGGTGTATTTTTAAAAAATAATTTCAGATATTGTACTTTTTAATCTCAAAAAGTTCCATTTAGTTTTTTTTCCAAATATCTTTTCAATCATAGCCATTTCCCCATATTTTATTGAACATGTAGGCCATATAATTAGAGTTAGTTTAAGGTTTTTTGTTTTGTTTTGTTTTGTTTTTGTACTAGGGATTGAACTCAGGACCTTGTGCATGCAGGACAAGCATTCTGCCACCGAGCTACATCCCCAGACCTAATTTAAGGTTTTTATCTTCTAGTATTTCCATGTCTGTCCTGAGTCTGTTTCTATTGATTGATTCTTTTCTTGTGTGGTGAAAGGTCATTCCTGTTTTGATGCATGCCTGCTGATTTATGAATTTCACATTGTCGGGTATTATATTTTGTTCTATTTCTTTAGATAGTGCTGGAATGATTTTCATCTTGCTTTTAAGATTTTTAAAGACAGATTAAGAGTGGCCTTTGGTGTGGACTTATTTGGCACTACTTTTAATTCTGTTGGCTCTACCCAAGACTCTCATTTTTCCACTCTGGCTGCTGGCAGGTAGGAAGCATCACCAATCATGTTACTCTGTACTGGTTCCTCACCTCATCTCAGGTAGATTTCCTAGGTGCCCACAGAGTAGTGCCCAGCCTGAGGCCTGAGCTGGCCCTCTGCAGATCTCTGGAGCATGCTGTCAGCATCTGCATCTTTGGTATTCTACCTCACAGACGCTAACCACCTTGGCCTCTTCATGTTCTGAGATCTATTTCTTCAGCTCAAGGAGGCAGACTTTCTTTGGGTTTCCTCTTCCTGACCTAAGGCCTAGAAACTTCCTCCAAGCCATCAGATAGGCAACAGTAGAGCCCACGTTGTGTGTTGGCTTCTCTCTGTAGGACAGTCGCCCAAAGCCTATTATTACTCAATATTTTAACATCATTGCCTCACATATATTGTCCAGCTTTCTGATTGTTTCAGGAGAATTTGTCCAGTAATTATTATTCCATTATAGTTAGCAGGAGGATTTTTAAAAAATTACTAATTATTTTTATAATTTGTTGGTGATCTTTCAATAATCCATTAAAATTTTCTTCATTGAAGTTTAGAGACTATGTTCTGTTAACAATTTTATGAAGTTTTAAGGTTTTGTTGCAGTTGTAAGGTTTTGTTTTTGTTGTTCATAAATAATTTTAAAAAGGTACTATGGACATATAAAATGCATATTTTCTTTTGCAGACTTGGGGATGAAACCCAGGGTTTGGAGAATACCATGCAAGCATTCTGCCACYGAGCTATATCCCCAGCCCTTTTCATTGTTATTTTGAGACAGAGACTTGCTAAATGACCCAGACTGGCCTCAAACTTGAGATTCTCCTGCCTCAGCCACCTGAGTAGCTCAGATTACAGGAACGTGCCACCATGTTCCATGACTTCCACATGTTTATAGAGTCCCACACACAGAATGTGGGAGATCAGGGGGCACAAGGCACCTCCAAGGTCACTCACCACTGCAGGATTCATTGGGCTTAGAGTCCTGAGGCCCCAAGTCTTGTTTGCTGGACCTGCTCTCTCTGCAGAAAGTTCTAGGTTTACTGAGGTTGAAGTAATGGCATTAAGACCACCAGGAAAACCTGTGGATCAACTGGGTTTGTTGAACTTACTGAGCAAGGAACAGCACCACTGCTGTGGTTGGAATATATCCCCCCAGATTCATATGTTGGAGACTTAATCCCCAAATTCATAGGTTAATGGTACTTGGAGGTGGAGCCTTGGCAAGGTAATTAGGATTAAATGAGGTCATGGAGGTCCCACATGACATCGGTGGCTTTATTACAAGAGGAAGAGAGACTAATCTAGTGCCCTTGTCCTGTCCTGCCATGCGACACCCTCTACCATGTTATGATGCAGCAAGAAGGTCCCCACCAGCTGCTGATTCATGGTCTTGGACTTCCGAGCCTCCAGAACTGTGTGCTCCCTGAGCCTCTATTCTTCATAAATTATCCAATTGCGCAGTACTCATTATGGAAATAGAAAATGGACCAAGAACCCAGCTTGACAGCATCTCTGCAATGTCTTAAGAGGGTTTTTTTGGGGGAAGTCCCCATAGAGTCCCCTGGGCTGGAGCCTGCCTGTGGATTTCCTGCCTAGCTTTGCATCCCAGCCTGAATTCCTGTCTTGGTTCCCAGGCCACTTTCTTGTTCAGCACCTGGAGTAACTTTTCCAAGGCACAAATCTGCTCACACAAACTCTGCTCAGATGCCTTCAAAGCTCCTCCTGACTCTCAGGACCCATCCCAGAACCTCACCAGGATCCTGGTCCTCTGCCGTCCGGTGCCTGTCAGGGTCCCTTTCTCCCCACAGCCTCGCTGTTCTGTGCTCCAGAGCCACCCACCTTCTTCAGATTCTTTGAAATGCCACCATGGCTTTCTCCGGCCAGTGACATCCCCTTTTAGGGTCACCTAACCACCTCTAGTCCTCCTCTGATCTCAGCACAGAAGTCTCTTCCTCTAGGAAGCCCTCCCAGACTCTCAGACTGAGTTTGGTGCTCTCCTTGAGGCCAGGCCTACTGTTGTCATCCATTTCCCCTTTAGGTTTGAAGGCCCGTGAGGGCCAGAGCCATGAACATCTCTGGGAGCACTCACAGCTTGGCTCTGGAGATGTCCCTAAAGTCTCCTGTGTGCAAGGCTTGGTCCCCAGTGCAGCCAGCTTCAGGGCGGGGGAGCTTTGGAAAGTGGTTGGATCATGGAGGATCTGATCTCACCCATAGATTAATAATTTGGAAGCATTATTTGGAACTTTAGCAGGTGGAACCTGGTTGGAGGAAGTAGGTCACTGGGGTTGTGCCCTTGGGGACGACATCATGCTCCTGGCCCCTTCCCCTCTCTCAGCTCATGCACCTGCCATGAGTTGAGCGGCTTTCTCTCACCACACCCTCTGTCATGATGTTCTGCTTCATCTGAGACCAGAGCAATGGGTCCAGCCGACCGTGGCCTGAAACATCTGAAACTGTGAGCCAGACCGAACCTCTCCTTCTTTGATTGGTTTATGCCAGGCATTTTGGTCACTTTTATGAAACACTAACCCAGAATCACTAGGTGGCTGAGGGTGCTCCTCTGGCGGCAGGTGGCCCTCACCAATACCTTCGACGGTGAGTGCGGTGCCGTTGTGTGGTCCTCACACCGAATCCACTGTGGTCAGTCCCCAGTCCCGCATTCTGGTTGCTGAGGGGAACCGTCTGTCAGGTGAGATTTTGGAACTGGGGAGGCAGTTGAAGCGCTCAGTCTGGGAACCCAGAACAGAACTGTTCTCCCCTCATGGGGGATGCTGGGGTGCAGAAGGGGGAGATCCCACCAGAAGACCCCCCCCCTCAATTGCAGGAGCAAAGGGTCGGTGGCTGTCCCAGATGTGGATAGGACCAGGAGTCCCTACAAGAGGCAGTAGGTGGGCAGAAGCTGGGCCTTGGGACCAGGTGACTCTGGAGGCCAGAATGGGAGAGAGGGCAGCAGGGTCTCCACTTTGCCCTGGTCTGAGGTCCTGGTGACCTTGGTCACAGGCTTGTGTGGTTTGGCCCATCTGCTAAAGATGAAGGCAGCAGCCCAGACCCTGGGGTGGGATGGGACTGTGTGAGAGGCCAGGGGGCTTGACTCAGGGACATAGGCAGAGCAGGGATTCAGATGGTCAGCAGAGAAGGACACCAGGAAAGAGTGCAGGCACAGGAAGATGTTTATTGCTGTCAGGAGACCTCAGAGCCTCAGAGCTCCACAGTCCCCAGAGTCTCTGTGCCTATGGGAGCCACACATGCAGTTGCCGTCACCTTCCCAAGGAGGAGCGAAAGGGCCAGGCCACTCTGGGTGCTCTGCATCAAAGCCAGGCTGTGTCCAGAGACCCATGCCTGGACTTCCATCCCTGGCTCCTAGTGGGTGTCCCACTACTCAACAGAGGGCTCTAGGTTGGCTTGGGGTTGGTGATTTTGCTCATAAAGAGGATGACGTCTCCATGGACGATGGTCATCAGGAAGGGCTTGTTGAAATTCACAATGGTCTTTGTGCCTATCTTTGCCGATGTGAGGACCATTTTGACTCCAGTGGCAGCAACTGCTTCCGTCCCCTCCTCAGTCACATCAAGCAGAGCCTTGTGGATCACCTGCGGGGACAGGAGTGGGCAGAAGGGAAGCAGCCTGCCTGAGGCTTTTAGGGAACTGATGCATCACAGGTTTCCGTCGAGACTGTCATGTAACCATTGCTGTTGCCTGTTACCATGACTGTCCTAAGAATAGTCTGTGCCCACAGATGGAAAAGCTCATGGTGGAAGCCTGCACTTATTTTCCAACTGGTGTCTAGCATGAGGTAGTGTCTGCTGCGGTCTGATCCCAGGCCCAGGCTCCTCCCCATGAAGGGCTCCTGTGTCTTGTCATGATGTGTGTGTGTTTGCAGGGTGGGTGACCAGCCTGTAACACTGCAGGAGGCGCTGGGCTGTAGCCCGGCTCTTCAGGGTTTGGTGGAGACCCAGGGAGGGTGATTGGACATTGAGAAATACAGTTATCTGTACAGATTCAAGAGTCCCCAAACGTCCACCCTGGCCTTCACTATTCAGGTTTAGCCGTGGAGAATGAACTGCCCGGAGTTCACAGACTCACCTTAGAGACCATCAGGTTCTTGTACCCCGTGACCCCTGACAGGTCAGCCTGCTCGGTGAAGACCTCCCTGATGCCCAGTTGGTGAAGAGCATCTTCCAGATTGAAGTCACTTGAGATGCAGAACTTGGGCAGATAGAGCTCATCTATCCACCTAAGGAATGAGAAAAGTGAGATCTGACCATCGCTTGACTCCGTGGCCATCCTCCCCCACTGCAGCACTGGATTCCCCAGTTTCCTCCACCACTATCCCTTCTTGCAGGAAAAATGTTCTCTTCCTTGATTTCTTTTGTTACTGTTTGTTTTTTTTTTGGAGAGGGGTCCCCGGGATTGAACTCAGGGGCACTCGAACACTGAGCCACATCCCCAGCCCTATTTTGTATTTTATTTAGAGACAGGGTCTCACTGAGTTGCTTAGCACCTCAGTGTTGCTGAGGCTGGCTTTGAACTCGAGATCCTCCTGTCTCAGCCTCCCGAGATGCTGGGATTACAGGCGTGCGCCACTGTGCTGGCACCCTTAATACACTTATCACTGTGTGCTTGGTCTTACAGCTGCTCGATACAATGAGGCTCTGTCTCCCATTGAACTCCGAGTTCCATGGGTGCATCCTGTTTGTCTTTAGATTCATTCACTCATTCAAATCTCTGAGCACCCAGCGTGGGCTGGGCACGTGCACAGATACATCAGAGTTTTGTAAATAGGATGTCTTTGATGAATATTCAGAACTTCTCATTGAGATCTGCTCTGTACTAATCAAAGATGAAGGAAAGGGAGAGTTTGGAAGTTGAGAATAAGTGGACAGGGAGGGCCCTCTCCAAAAAAACCAAGTGGACCCAGGTGTCCTGGGGTCTCCAGGGAGCTGGTGTGAGGAGGGTTGAGAGTAGGTAGCCCCAGCAGGTGCCACTCTGGAGGTGCTCGGGGCTGGGGCTGTGGCCTCAAGTCTGTGTTGAGGCAGATCTTTGCCTTCTCTGTTCTGTAAGTGTCTTCCCTGTCTATTGCCCCCATCCAGTTCTCAAAGTCACCCCAAGAGGACAAGGACCACAGAACAAGAGCTCCACCTTCAAAAGGCGGAGGCCAGGAGAAAGCAGGTGAGGGTCGGGGACGGTGCCGGAGACGCCTCGTGACTTAGAACATGTCTGAGTCAGAAGAAGCCTGGTTACATTTGATGTCCTCTTAAAATATCTGGCCTAAAGCCACCAGGCAGCAAAGGGAAGAGTGGCCTCGGATAACCCCTGTCCCCACATGGGTTCTTCCACCACTGTGTCACTGGACCCTGGTGAGACCCTGGGGTGGAGGGAGACAGGGCCCTAGGGGCTGGGATGGAGGGGCGCCGTCAGCTCCAGTCCTGGGGATACGCACTCCATCTGCAGCGAGCTTCTCCACCTCTTCAGGGTGTGTGGGAGCAGCATGGCCTCCACCTTCCCCATCTTGCCCGAGTCAGGGAGGATGAAGAGTGCACTCGCATTGCCAGCGTAATCCAGCTGAATCACGGTGCAGGAGAGCGCCTTGTCCCGGAAGTAGGGTATGTACAGGTCCTCGGCGCTCATCATGGGCACTTTTATCCACTTCTTCCCGCTCAAGTAGAACCTGGCCTCGGAGGTATCGCCGGGGTAAAAGGGCGTCATCCACTTGGCTAGAGGGGGAGCAAGCCGTCGCAGACCGTGAGCACCAGGGCATCTGTGCTCCACCCCAGCTCTGCCCCCAGCCACTCAGGGTCCCTCTCAGGGGTGGCCCTGCCTGGGTTTGGGAAAATACCTTGGCAAGTGGAAAAGCCACGGGGGAAAGGGGAGACCCAGGGGCCTGGATTGGAAAGGGGACCCTGAAACAAAGACCTGGTTACTTGGCGCAGCCCGACGACCCCTGCCAGGCTGGCATAAAAGATCCTCACACTGAAGACCCAGCCACTGGGCTTCCTGTCACTCGGTGCCAGGCGACCAGCTTTCAACGAGAAGCCTTGTCTCCCTGCTGTGGGGCGGGGGCTCCCCTTCCTGCCCTCCCAGGATGGTCCCCTGGGGCCTCCCCTTCCCTGCGGTCCTCTCACAGGCCACCACTGACTTCCCTGGGAGGGGCGGGGGCTCTGCTCTTAGTCTGTCTGGATTCAGAAGAAAAGAAAGCCATTTTTCTGGCAAAGYCTTTCTTTCTTGGCTCCAGGCCCCGCCTGGCCCCCTCTGGTCATCCAGTCTGCATCCTGGCATCCCTTGGTGTACCCTTTGTGTACCCTCTGCCATCTGGGTGCAGAGGAAGAGGAAGGACAGGGCGGGAGGGGGAGGGGCCAGTGCTCATCAGCTGTCCTGAGCCTGTCCCCGCTGGCTGTCCATGCTGCAGCCCCAGCAACGGCCAGGCCCATCCCACACTCTCCAGGTCCTGTCTGTCAGTCAGGAGGATGGGAGGGGTGACGAGGGAGGGCAGGGCGGCACAGGTCTCCATCCCCACCAGGAGGAGGAGCGCGCCCAGCTCCTGGGCACTCCATGGACCACTTGGTTACCAGCCCTGCCAGGAAGAAGGGACGATAGGAAGGGGCGGTTGGCTTGTGGCTGGGAAGGAAAGGGTCCTAACAAAGGGACAGGTGTTAGGAGGAGCAACAAGGAGATTCGAAGATCAACAGAGCACATCAGGCCAGGACCAGTAGAGGAGGGAGGCTTGGTCCCGGCCTTCCTCTACAGATGCACCTGCAGGCCCGAGGCAGTGCTCCCCGGAGCTCTGCCTAGTCCACCCGCTCCCTGACTCCGTGGTCCTTTTCTGTGTCCCCATCTCTTCTTTTACTTGTATCTGGGCCACTGGTGGGATCTCCCTGCCCATCCTCTGTCCTTCAGAACTACAGGCTGAGGTTGGCCTAGCTGGGTTCCCATCAATGGGATGTGGCACTAGACCAATTAGAACCTGAGAAAGGGTCCCGCCTTTCACAGTGCCCTTGCCAGAGCCTCTTCCCTGGGGGTGGGCCAGAGTCCTGGACCCTCAGGGCTGCCAGGCCCCACAGGGCCATCTTTGTCTTCCCCTGAGAAATGGCCCCAGGCCTGCCTGGACTCCCTCTAGAGACAGAGGCCAAGCCAGGATAAGGACTACCCTGGGTGGGTAGGTCAGAGATGCCCAAGAGGGCACAGGCAGAGAGTCTTCCTGTCCACATTCGGCAGCATGGGGACAAGGACAAAGCTGTGGTTCCTGCCTTCCCTGATGGAATTTGGAAGGAGTGAGTTTCACCTAGGTTAATGGGATGCGTGGAGGTCGAGTGCTGGAAGGACAGACTGTGATTCACAAGCCACAGGGGAGAAGATGAGGCCTACGGACAGAGTGGGGTCTGGTGCCCAAGTCCCCCAAACCACGGACACCTCCTCTCTAGTGGTGGCTGGTTCTCCAAGCCAGGACAGACAGCTCAGAGCTTGGAGTTCCTTTCCTCTGAGCCCAGGCCTGCACTCACCTTTAAAGAAGATGTAATTTAACAGGACCATCACCGTCCGGGGGTCCAGCCCTTTGATCAGGTCCACGATTTTCCCCTGGGTTTTTTCCTTCACATAGTCATTGATGCTCTTCTCGGCAGCGTCAAGGTCCTGGAAGTTGGTGGTGAAGGTCTGGGCCTCATAGAGGCTCTGGGCATCATCAGTGAACTTGGCCAGCAGCTCCAGATCATCCTCGACGAACATGGCGTTGCCTATGCTGAGCTGCAGCTGGTCGCTGGGCTGGCTGAGGGTGCGCAGGAGATGCTGGAAGCCCTGGTGGATTTCCGCCTCCGTGATCGCCGTGAGGTTGAATTTGAGGCCCTGGAGAAGCTCCCTCAGGGTGGTGTTGTGGGCCCCCAGGGCCAGGAAGGCCAGGGCGGTAGAGATGCTCAGTGGGGAGAAGACGACATTCTCTTGGGGATTCCTGGAAGCCAACTGTTTGTAGAGGCTGAAGGTGAAGTCGGCATTGTTGGAGGCAAATCTCAGGGTGTTCGGAGTCGGTGTGCCAGGTGAGTGGCAAAGGACGGCAGGGCAGAACCCTGCCACCAAGAGCCCTAGAGCCAGGAGGGGGGACATTCTCTCCACTCTGAAAAGCAAAGATCTTTTAAGTCTGAGAGGGCCAGGTGGCACCCTGACAGCCTCCCCTGCCTGTACTCTGTCCCTGCTCTGCTGTCCCTTGCCAGCGCTGTGACCTTGTAGGTGCTCTCTGGGCACCCAGTGAGCACTCAGGAGCTGCCCTTGAAGGGTTAACTTGCCCAGTGTAATTACCTTTCTCCCATAAGGTAATTACAGTCACTTGGTCATTTTTCCCAGTGGAGAAACTGGGCAGAGAGGTAGGGTTGTGCCAGGGTGGCACCAGCAGGTGGAGGCATGCAGGTGGGAACTGTTGGGAAAAGTGTAACAGCAGCTGCACCCCAGAAAAAAAACCCAACATGGCGCCTAAGGACCTTCTCTTCCTACTTTCCCCTTTTTCCACTGGCGCGAAAAGTTCCCGCGGGTGTGAACTCTCCCGCGGGCGCCAATATTTCAAATCTCGCTGGCGGGGAACCTGAGCCCCAATGAGAACTAATTCCTGGGCTCTGGAACTGATATCTGCAAGAACTTGCCAATAAACGGGTGGCCCGCCATTTACCTAAGCCCTGCCATCTCCCCTTAGATCTATATAAGCCCACAGCCTTTTGCAATAAAGTGGAACTCTCCGGGCGAATTGTCTTGCGTGGAGGCTTCTTTCGGGAACAAGTTGAGACACTCAGAATGCCTCCCCCTCCTGTCAGCCGGCAGGCCCCAGGCAGAGGGGATGGAAGGCAGGATCTCTCCCTTGGAACCTCCCTTAGATGACAATTGTATGATCCTGGGCAAACCCTCCACTGCATGGTGCCTGGTTTAGCCAGGGTTAGTTGGGAGGAGACTCAGAAGATAGCCGGAGTGGTGCCCGGAGGCTGGCGGCCCTGGAAATGGTGACTGTAAAAGCCAACAGCAGGTAGGTTGCTCTTTTCAGCCTCTGCCAGGTTACCACGTGGTGGTTTCCACCAAGGCCTGGGAAGACCCCTTATTGGAGGGAGAGCAGAACATGCACCAGAATTTCTGACCTGGGCTGGATTTCATTTGGGTGATTGCTGGGTGGCAGGGCAGTGGCACCCCCTCCTCCACAGGAAATCCTAATTAAGCTTCACCAGAAATCTTCCCCATAATTGATTTTAGGACTATTGGCAGAAGAGTCTCTACAAAAGAATTCAATGTAGTTAAACTTCCTGTTTCCTGTTGCTCTAGCTTACCTGGCCACCGGGCTGGRAGAGATCAGCACTCCAGGTGCCCAACACTCTTTACTAGTTTTGCACAAACATTTATGGACTATCTCATGTAAATAACAACATACAGAATAGTTTGTAAAAGTGTGTTTGCAAATGCAGAGAGTAAAGAGAAAAACAGATTTTTAAAACTAGGCTGCTGGGCCTTGGGCCAGAGATGTTTACATTTCAAAGAGAAGAGGTTACTCATTGAGCTCTGTGATAACAGCTGGCAGGGGAGGGGAGAAAGGGGAGAAGAAGATCTCCCCTCCTCAGAAGCTGCCCTTAAAGGATTAACTTGCCCAGTGAAAGAAAAAACTGCTTTTGTGTGAACTTCTGCAGATTGTGAACTTCTGAGCCCCTCCAATAACACACCAGGTATAAAGTTCTGAAGCCTGAATTCGGGGTTCAGGGGGATTCAYTGGTTACAGGAAAAGTTTTGCCCTCTGAGCCTAACTACGGCCACTAAACCTGCTTCCTGTTTCCTGTCTGGGGTCCTGCCTCCTGTCTCCTACAGCAGCACACAAGTGACTAACCCAATCTGGCCTCTGTCTCTGTCTYTACCTGTGAAGTGGCTTGGGGAAGGTCCATGATGAAGGTGTGGCCCCTGGCTCWTAAAATGTGTTCCAGAGGGCCACCTCCCCACACTCCCTGAGCTAGGGACCAGGGACTGAGAGGGCYGAGCTCAAAGCAAACAGGGAGCTCACCTGCAGCTCCTGCCCACTCTGTCCSAGCATCCAGGGAGAAGGGGACAGCTTGAGAGGTGGGAAGCAGAGGAAGAGCCAAGAGGGAGAAGGAGAGGGAACAGGAGGGGGAGGGGGGTTGCTGAGCTGCTGTCACCAGGGAGATGGAAGTGGCTTCAGACAGGCCCAGGGACTGTGGCAACTTGGTTGACCGTCCTGGTCAGCTTTCTGTTGACCGTACTCTCAGGCCGAGGCAACCATTTCTTTGGAAAAGCATCAAATAATATTTTACACACAGATCATTTCAGGAGGGGAAGGATGGTGAGTTTGGGCTGTCGGAGGTCTGGCTGTTTCTGAGCTGTTTCAGGACAGAGATGCAGCCTGTCTGTCTGCTTGGCCCTGGGGCCTTGGTGGGAAAGTGAAGTCCCCAGCCCAAGGCAGCTCTCACAGGGACCCTAAAATCACCCCTGGGTCTGCTGCCTCTGTCCAGAGGGACTCGCTCCAGTCATCATAGCTGTTCTTTGTTCTGGTTCTGAGAGGACACCCTGTGCCAGGAGAGGGCACCTCCTCCCCSTGAGGGCCAGACTCCAGCTGGTTCCGCACAAAGAATCTACCAGTGTTGCCCAGAAGCACCTCCACTCTTTGTGGGCTTGAAAACACAGCCCCGGGGGTGGGGGGGAGGAGAGGGCTCCCCTGGGAGAAGAAGTGGCAGCCCCAGCGCTGCCCCCTTGCCACCGAGCAGCTACCTGCAGGACTCACGGGCCCCTCCCKCCCCACATGTTCTAGGCCTGGTATAGCCCCATCCTGGAGAAATGGAGCCCTTGGCTCCCAGACAGAAGGCTGGGGCCTCAGGATTACCTGGCAGGAGCGCTGGCTGGCTGGACTCAGAGGAGGATCCAAAGCCCAAAGCCGGGGCCCCAGATTGCAGAGTGCAGGGTTCTCCCCAAGACCCAAGCCTATTTATCCGCTAGGACTCCGCCCCCTGCTTAGGAAATGTTGACCAGGAAAAGGGAGGACTCTGTTTTCAGACTGGAAATGCCCTGACACCAGTTTCTGGTAACATGGATTTATAAGATCTTGCAGAACAACCCAGTTACAGGAAATAGCCCCTAACTTTTGCTAACATCAAAAAGCGACATTAAAACCATGGTCTCATTAGTGTGATTTCTGTTTATGAAATGCTCACTGAGAAACATGGAGAAAACCAGAAAATAAGAAGACATCAAAAATATCCCCCAGATGTTTATCGCCCAGAGAGGGACCTAGCTAACATTTCCATATATTTCTAAGTCATTTCTTTCCTATCTGAGTGTATCTTTGTGGGGGTGTGATATGAATCTCTATGCACACTCAGATGTAGTGTTTAAAAATACAGGACTTTATTTTTCTAGACCTCCATTTGCATTTTGAGCAATCCTCCCCCAGAAGGGTTGGTCTCAGGGCTCTGCCCCTCCCCAGAGGTATACAGAGAAATAGGGTGGCAGGGACCTCATCTGAGCACAATCACTGTGGAGTCCTTGTCCCCAGGTACTATGTGTCATGGGGGCCTCCTCTGGCCACGACCTGATCCTGAAGCCAGAATTAGGCAGAAAGGCAAGGGTCAGATCCAGAGATTGGAGGAATTGAAATGTTAATTCCTTCAGAGCCCTTCCTCCCCCTTATCAAGATAACCTGCCCCTGCTCCAACCTGTTGCTAAAGTAAACTGTCTCAGGGATTGTCCCCCTTCCTGTCCAGGTCACTCCAACTTGGCCCCTCCAGCCCACCTGCTTCTCACCCTCTGGCCATCYCACTGAGCATCTCCTGGGCTAGTCAGGAACCCAGGAAGGAGACAGAGAAGGGGAAGAGAGCAGAACAAAGGAAGCCTAAGACCTGCTTCCTAGGACACCAGCTATGGCCCYTTCTCCCTCCCAGGAGAAGTCTATATTCCCCCTTTTTAAATAACTCTGCTTCATATTTCATGCCTCTGCGCGTTTCTCTCATGTTAAGCTTTGACACGTGAGGGAGGGAGCAGGACTCGTCATCGGTAACCGGCGTTACCAATCCTTCTGCACCTCTGTCGTTGGTTCACCCCAACAGCTCCTTGTCCCTCATCCCTGGCCTTTGGTTCCCCTCAGGTCTCTCTCTTACTTAATCTATCTTGGGGTGGGGAAGTGATCCCGACATTCCACAAAATCACCCACCCCTATCCACAATGGCCTCTGAAAAAATTCAGTGTAACCCTTGGGGTTCCACAGAGCACCATTTGGAAACCGCTGATTAATGGCACGATGTAGGTCTGATTCGAATCCTGAAGTAGGTGCTAGTCATGACCTCCATCACAAGCAAATCACTGGAAATCCCTAACCCTCCATCTTCTCATGTCTAAGACATAGATCACCACATTTCCCTGTCAGGTGCTTATAAAAATTAGGTAAAATACAGTCCGGCATTGCTTAACGACGGAGACGTGTTCTAAGAAATGTGTTATCATGTGGCTTTGTCATTGCACAAACATCATGGAGTGTACTGTCACAAACGTGGCTGCTGCAGGTCAGTTGCTTCATGGGGCCCTCAATGCATGTAAGGTGGCTTTACAGTCAACTGTATTTTTATAAATAGAAGTTCACTCTAAAATGGTAAAAAAAGTCTAGCGTGGTAAACAGGAATCAGCAGCACAGGGGTCCACGGTCATTATCAAGCCTCACGCACTGAAGGGAATTGTACATACTGTACTTTGATAGACTGGCAGCGCAGCAGGTCTGCTCACTGGGCCAGCTCACATCAGCATCTCTGCAAATACGAGGGCAGAGTTGTGCGGTGACACTCTGCCTGCCCATCACCAGCAGCAGAAGTTCTTCAGTTCCATTAAGATCCTATGGAACCACGCTGTACATCCTGCCTGTTGTGGGCTGAAACGTCGTTAGGCAGCGCACGATTGTAACTAAGCTCTCTGAGGACGGGGCTTTCTGCAGAGCTACATCCCTTGAGTACTTGATGAGCAAGTGTTGGTTGTGAAGATCAGTCATCGACACTAGGAGTTGACTGATCTTCCGCTCCCTCCTCCCAACTCCCTACCACCCTTCCTTATGTGATGATTGACACATTTTCAGGCTCCCCAGATTTTCTGTTGAAGACATATTGAATCTTATTTCAGTTGGGGAGTGAACCCAGCCCCTCCCGGTGCTAAGCATGGGCGCTTCATGAGCTGAAAGTTTATTTCTGTCTTGTGTAAGTCCAGATGGAGATGGTGGGGTGAGGGGCAGCTCCACGTTGTCAGGACCCCAGGCTCCTCCGCTTTGCTCTGCCATCCAGGTGTGGTTGGCTCTGCAAGACGGTGCAGCGCCATGCCTACTTTCCAGCCAACAGGAAGGGCAAYGGGGAAGGAGGCCCACACCCTTCCCATTTGTCACTATGTCCTTTCCACTTGTGCTCCATGGGCCAGGACTGGGTGTCAGCCTCCCCCCAGAATGAGCAGGTGAACTGAACTTCAAATAGCACGTATGTTTTTGTTCCTGCGGTTACCAAGAGCTTTATAGGAAAGCTCTTGGTAACCGCAACACCAGTGCTCAGCAATCCACGATCCCCCACATAAAGCCCAGAGCAGAACGCTTGCTTTCCGGCTCCTCAGCTGGGATTCAGCCTTGGACCTTGCAATGAGRCTCTATTTGCCCTGGGGTTTTCCGAGCTTATCAGGGGTCTTAGGCTTCTGTTATTCCTGCCACCTATCTGTGAGTGATAAAGTTGATCTGGGTGACTTGTGCAACCAACCCTTTTGTCTCACTGTTTTCCTACTTGGGCAGCTGGATTTAGGCAAAAACCTCCTGCCAGATCTAGAAACATGAGCAGAAGCTCTCAAGGCCTTGAGACTCAGCGGTTACCAAGAGCCTTCCTGTAAACCTTCCGTTCGTTTAATCCTTCCTTCATTTCACAAATATTGACAGATGGATTCTGTGTGCCACGCATTTTCTCAGGCATTGGGTGTCCAACAGTAAAGGAAATACACAGTGACCCTGCTCTGAAGGGGGCTCCGTCTCAGCTGTTCTGGAAGAGTGCCCTTGCTATAAGGGGAGGCCTATAGGATTTTAGACTTTAAGAGCCACAGATGGTCTCGGTCTCCTTCCCCTCKGCTCTTCCCGTCTCTCCCTCCCTCCCACTATCTACTCTTCTCTTCCTCCTTTTCTCTCCTTGTTCCTCCTCCTTCCCAGTCTTCTCCTTCTTCTCCATCTTTTACAAATCTGTAAAGCCACCCTTAGCCTGGGAGCTACTTCTGTGGATTGGCTGTTCTGATCCCAGTATGGTGGGYTGAGGCGGTAGGGCCATGGAGAGGTGGGACCTGGGGAAGACAGGACCTGGATACCACCCTCAGAGGGGATTAATGCAGTTCCCGTGGAGCCTCTGTCAGTTCCCATTAGTGAGAGTTGTTATAAAAAAGAGCACATCTCGTTCCTGAGCCTCTCTGGCTTCCTGTGTCACTGTGTGATCTCTTTGTCACCCACTCTCTTGTGATATAGCCCACCATGAGGACCTCACCAGGGGCCAAAGAAATGGGCCCACCTGATGTTGGATTCTCAGCCTCCAAAACTGTGAGCTAAGTAAACTTATTTATAAAGTACCTCGACACAGATATTCTGTTGTAGCAACAGAAAGCCGACCCATACAATATGWAAAAACAGACTGAGGCCTGGATTTGGCCAGTGGACCTAATTGGTCAACCCCTAGATAACCCCTTTAAACAGCTTTCCTGTAAAGTACAGCAAGGCACTTGGAGTCCAGGAACGTGAACACTTTTCCTCTTTATTTTAGTTCAGGCCCACAGCAGGCATCGCCCACGGAGATTGGGAGCTGCAGTGAAATTTGTTGCTTCTGCTCCCTCCTCCCAACTCCAGGCACCCTGCATGCAACTTCAGGGAGTCCCTTTCTAATTGGGATCTACTGTGTGTGAATGGACGCCAGGCACCTGGGGCCCTCGCAYGGGAGGAGTCTCAAGGCCTTGAGAGCTTCTGCTCATGTTTCTAGATCTGGCAGGAGGTTTTGCCTAAATCCAGCTGCCCAAGTAGGAAAACAGTGAGACAAAAGGGTTGCACAAGTCACCCAGATCAACTTTATCACTCACAGATAGGTGGCAGGAATAACAGAAGCCTAAGACCCCTGATAAGCTCAGGAAAACCCCAGGGCAAATAGAGCCTCATTGCAAGGTCCAAGGCTGAATCCCAGCTGAGGAGCCGGAAAGCAAGCGTTCTGCTCTGGGTTTTATGTGGGGGATCGTGGATTGCTGAGCACTGGTGTTGCAGGCTGCAGACTTGGCTTCCGGCACCTCCATCCTGCTTGGCTTCCTCCTTTTCCCACCCTCTTCTCCCACCCTCTTCTCCTCAGCCCCTGGCAGGTTGTCAGGTGGCCAGTCACTCATTCAGTCCCACCAGCCTCCTCACTGGGTGGCTCTGGGCAGGGGGAAGCTGTTTCACAGGGAGAAYACCTACCAGGCCGTCTTATTTCAATATTGTCTTTTCCCAGGGGGGGAATGACTGCCTTTTTGTATAGATCCTGTCTCTGACTATGTTGAAACAAACCTCCACCCATCTTTTACCCTGTGGATTATTACCGGGCTTTAGCCTGGGTCCACTCTAGGAAGAGGGGTTCGGAGAGAGGGAAAATCTTCCAATGTTTAGACCTGTGGTTTGGCCAACTGCAAGCCGTTAGGTGGTAGAGCTGGCAGAACTTGGGTAAAACCTGTCCAAGGCCAACCCAGAACTCAATCCCATGCTCTTTCAAAAAACACAAACAACAGCAGCAGCCTCCCCTCCCTACAGCCCCCACCCCCRAAAAAAAGGAAGAAATTTTCCTTCTGGATACAGAACAGCAAGTGATTGTCTCCCAGGTGTTGGGGTGAATGTTGGGCTCGATGAGTCGTCAAGGGTCCACGGTCTGTGTGGTTGGGGTCCAGCTGAAGAAGAGCTTCATCCCTCCCAG